GAGACGGGTGGGGAGGATGTGCGTGCGGATTTCTTGTGTCGGCGCTGGGCCCCCCTAGCCTGGCAGCGCTCCTCCAGCACTGTCCCTCGGGAGGCTCCGCGCGCGCCGCCACGGAGGGGGGGTCGTCGGCACCAATCACAGGGCATCCGCGCGCACCGCCGAAAGTTCCAAGTATGCAGCCTTGTCTGGCTCTGGTCGGGCGTGTCCCTCTACAGGCTGAATATTCAAGAAGAGTAAAACAATAGTCAGGGGACGATTTTTCTATCATTTCTGACCCTCTTGGGGTATTTGTTTGATTCTGTTCTATTCTTATTCTTCCAGAATCCGCTGCAGGGGGACATGCCCGACCTAACTCTAGTCATGGCAGGCAGCACGTGCGAAGACAGTTGCATATCAGAGGGCCCAGTGCCATTTGGGGCGTTCCAGAAAAGGGCCTTGCCTTCGAGGACCGAAGGAGCTGCCATCTCTTCCTCGGCGGAAGGGCGGCGGAAGGCGGCGGAAGCAAACGTCGGCCTCCCAAGGGACGGACACGTTTTTGGGCTCGGGGTTTCCGCAATCGGCCATCTGTGCCTCTTTGTCCGCGCCTCCACCTCCAGTCTCCTGCTGCCCCTGTCTCCGTGGGATGCAAGGGCGGGAATGTAGCACCATGCATGCTGTGGGCATAGTTCTTTTGTGTCCACGCCACGCTCCTCAAACCGACGCGTGATGAATCGGGCCACTTTGCCTGTCACGTGCTGACGTTCCAAACAGGGTGGGATTTGGGCGACGCGATTCCCAACACACTCTTGCTGATCTAGGCTTGTGATGCTGAGTGTTATCAGCTTCCACGTTCTGCTGAATGGGATGACCACCCGTGCCTTTGCCACTCACGTGCGTGAGGTATTGGCGGTGGGACCCCTGTTGCTGAAGAGCCTCAGGGTTTAATGCGGTTAGATTTCAATGGTATGCGCATGCATGCACTTGCGATTGCTGGCTTCGCACATGTCCGGAAACACTACCTGCTTGTCATTACTGATGCGCCATGGCGAACAAACATGCTTAACCGTGGAGCAATGCTGATGCAATGCCAGTCTGATAGTTTCAAGGCATTTCTTTGTGATATCACGTCATGCTGGCCCCTTGCGCAAGGAACTGAGGCTCCCAGCGAGGCTCCTGAGGATGATGATGATGATGCTGATGATGATGATGACGATGATGATGATGATGATGATGATGGTGATGGTGATGGTGATGGTGATGATGCTGATAAGGATGATGCGGATGGTGAAGATGATGATGATGCTGATGATGATGAGATGATGATGATGCGGATGATGATATGATGATGATGATGATGATGATGATGATGATGATGATGCTGATGCTCATGATGATGATGATGATGATGATGATGATTATGCTGCTGCTGATGATGATGGTGGTGGTGGTGGTGATGATGATGATGCTGATGATGCTGATGATGCTGCTGATGATGATGATGATGATGATGAGGATGATGAGGATGATGATGATAATGATGATGCTGATGATGATGATGCTGATGCTGTGCTGATGCTGATGCGAGGATGATGAGAGATGATGATGATGCTGATGATGATGATGATGATGATGATGATGATGATGATGATGATGTGATGATGATGATGAATGGTTGATGATGTGTTGATGATGCTGGCTGCTGATGCTGATGCTGATGCTGATTCGGATGCTGATATGAATGATGATGATAGATGATGATTATGATGATGATGATGATGATGATGAGGAGGAGAGGAGAGAGGAGGAGGAGGAGGGGAGGAGGTAAGGAAGAGGATGGATGAGGCGAGGGACAATCGATGAAGAAGGAGCGGGAACAGGATGAGAGGGGAGGAGCAGAATGAGGCGGAGGAGGAGTAGGAGAGGAGGCTGAGGAGGGGAGGAGGGGAGGGGAGGAGGAGAGGAGGGGGCGGACGAGGAGGGAAGAAAGAGGAGGATGAGGAGGAGGGAGGAGGAGGAGGAGGAGGAGGCGGAGGAGGAGGATAAGTAGGAGGAAGGAGGAGGAGGAGGAGGAGGAGGAGGAGGAGGAGGAGGGGGGAGGAGGAGGAGAGAGAAGATGATCATGAGGAGGAGGAGGAGGAGGAGGAGGAGGAGAGGAGGAAGAGGAGGAGGGGGAGGACGAGCGGAGACGATGGGGGAGGAGGACGAGGAGGAGGAGGAGGAGGAGGAGGAGGAGGAGGAGGAGTATGAGAGAGGAGGGGAGGATGAGGAGGGGGGGAGGAGGTGGAGGAGGAAGGAGGAGGAGGAGGTGGAGGAGGGTGGGCGCGGCGGCATGGTTCCCCCTGCCAAGGTGCTGGCGTGAGCCACCCCAGGGCCGAGCGCCAGGCGTCCAATGGCTGCCTGTTGGGTACGTAGGCAGAGGACGCTCTTCTTTCCGTTCTTATTCCTCTTCTTCTTCTTCTTCGTCGTCGTCGTCGTCGTCGTCAATCGTTCAAGGATAGTGGTTCGCCTTGGGCCTCTGGGTGGCTTCTCGTCGGCATCGCTGCATTCCCTTCGAAGTTCTGGCCCTGCGTCGTGGTCGGTGGCATTCGGTCGGCTTGTTTCGAGCGGCCTGTGGCATATCGGTGCCGCGCCGCTGCCTCCTTCTCGGCCGCTCGCTGCAGAGCCGGTTTTCGGCGGCGAGCGAGTGGGGGAAGTGAGAAGGAGAAGGCTTTCTCAGAAGGCGGCGGGATTTCTCACAAGCCCTCGCGCCTTACAAGAGGTTTTTGCTGTCTCCGGGGAAGGCTTCGAAATTTTCTCAGAAGGCCGGTTCGGAGACTTCTGAGAAGGCCTTCTCCTTCTCTTTTCCCCCCTCGCTCGCTGCCGAGGTTTCGGTCGGTTTCGGCTTCGTTGCCAGTCGACCAATTTTAGGATCCGCTGTCGCTGGGGAGGCCCTGCTTTCCTTCCGGGACTTGGTTCCTCGGTGGCAGGCCATTTGACGTTTCGCGATCCATGCTCCACGCACCTTCCTCACCCTTCCATCTTTCAATCTCTCTCCCTGGCCTCCACTTCCTTTCTTCCCCACCCCTCTTCTTCAGAATCTGCTCGTCTCGCCGCCAGGTGTGTTGGCAGGCTCGGCCCGGCGTTCCCCCTGACGATCTCTCCCAGCATGAAGCTGGAGAGCTCCAGCGGCTGCATAGGCGGAGAGCGAGCCGTTCTCGAGGGGGTGGTCTTTGCCTCGGCACCGTTCGCTGTCGGCGCAACAGCTTGCGAGAGCTGCACGGGCGGAGCGGCGTGCCTTCTCTTCAGGATGTGGCTCTCGCCGCAGCTCCGCGCACTCACCTTAGGAGCGAACGCGCGGGTCACATCGGTGGAGCGTCCAGAGCTCTTGCAAAGCAGCAGTCGCGTCGCGATGCTAAGCAGCTGGGCCTGGGCCGCGGTGCCCGCCACCTCGATGCAACGCGCCTGTGCTGGGCACGAGCGGAATCCGATCACCCAGGGGTGCATGAACGTTCCTTAGGGTTGCCTGTCATGAAGGCGCTAGTGGGCTTCCTGTCGTGAACGTGCCTTAGGGTGCCATGGAATTTGCCGAGGCGCCTACAGGTACACTCTCATATGTCCATCGGCATCCTCGTGGAACTGCATATATTCATAGGCGCAGCCTCCGCCGCATCCAACCAATCTCCACAGTGCTGCGCAATGCGCTTTTTGGACAGACTGCGGGGACGACGCCAAGCATGCTGGACGCATTTGGCCTTGTTAACACACTTCGGACGTTTCGAGTAATCCGAACAGAGTGAAGGCTTGCAACAGGGATAATAGCATATTATTTAACGGTTCAGAAAAATCCGGTTTGACTAATTAGATCCCGGGTCCGCCGTGTGTGATATTTTCAGAAAATGTTGGCAGGCTGGTTGGTTGGCGGGTTGGTTGGTTGGTTGGTCGCTTGCCCGATTGGTTGGTTGACCGTTCGTTTGTTTGTTGGCCGCTTGCTTGGTTGGCTGGTTGGTGGGTTGGTTTTCTGTTTGCTTGGTCGGTTGGTTGATTGGTCGGTGGGTTGGTTGGCTGGTTGGTTGGCCGGCTGGTTGGTTGATTGGTTATTGATTTGGGCGGTTGGCTGGTTGTTGAATCGGTTGGCTGGACCCGTTTGCCGATTTTCCCGATGTAGCGCACGGGAGCAGAACAAGTAGAATTCTAAGCTGCACGTCACGTCGCGACGCAGGAACGGGAAACACATTTCAACATATCCGTCATGCGGCCAAGTTGGCGGGCAGAACGAATTGTGTTCCACTGCGCAACGCGTATTCCATGCTGGTCGCCACATGGCAGCGCAGGTATGGGCAAGACATCCAAATCTACGCGACACGGCACGTTGCAACGCGAAGGGGTTTATGATACTTTATCATGTTCTTCTTTCTCGCGTGGCAATTCCGGGGGGCGGAAACAAAAAGGCAACGCCACTTTGGGACGCAATATCCGTCATTGGTAAACAAAGGGTTCTTATGGATCCAGCACATAGCCACCCAGGAGGGCGAACATGCATTATCCCACTTCTTCGTCGCGTGGCAACGCAAAGGCGCCGAGAAAATATGATTGTACTTTATAGTCACGTGGCAATGCTGGGGCAGAAGCAAATTATTCCATTCTGCTCGCCACGTGGCAACTCGGAAGGGCGAAACAAAATGCGCACTTGTTCTGTTCGTTTCACTGCGACGCAAAGGGGCGACACAAATGCATATCCGTTTTATTAATCACGTAGCAACGTGAAAGACACGAAACCAAGTATTCTGCTCTCTTTCGTCACGCGGCGATGCAGGGGAACGGTCAACCAGACGATTCCGTTTTGTTCGCCGCGTGGCAGTGTACGGAGAGGCGAAACGAACCTATTTGTGTCTGTCGCGAGGCAACATAGGGGAGTGGGCACATGTTATTCTGCATTCGCTCGACGCGTGGCAGCGCAGGGGGAGGGGCGAGCACGCCCGCACACACACCACACACACGCACACACAACCACACACAACCACACACACGCGCGCACGCACGCATACACACATGCACGCACGCACGCACGCACGCACGCACGCACGCACGCACGCACGCACGCACGCAGGCACGTCCGCACGCACGCGCGCACGCACAGACAGGCGCACGCACACACGCAGACACACACAGACATAGACACATACGCATACACATACACATACACACATACGCACGTACACACAGTCACATACACACAACACAACATACAACACAATACACACAACACACCCGACACAACACACACACAACGCACACAACGCACGCACAACACACGCAACACACAACGCACGCAACATTCACTCAACACACAGCATTCAACACACACACACACACGCACGCACGAAAGCACACACGCACAGACACACACACCCACGCCCACACCCACACCCACGCACGCCCGCACGCACGCACGCCCGCCCACACACCCACACACCCACACACCCACACACCCACACACCCACACCCACACACCCACACACCCACACACCCACACGCACACGCACACGCACATGCACACGCACACGCACGCGCACACGCACACGCACACGCACACGCATATACACACACACACGCACACAGACACAGACACACAGACACACAGACACAGACACACAGACACACAGACACACAGAGACACACACAGACACAGACACACAGACACATAGACTGGTACGCTGCGTGCCCATGCGGAGTGCCCCGCGTACGCTCTCACCGGGCGCGATCGAATGCCGACCACCGCTCATCTCTCGGGGGCGGCAAAGAGGGGGTTGATGACTAGGGGGGGGGTGGATATCATGGCGGGGGCCATGATTTTTCCGCAGATCTCATGGCGCCTCTTCTTATTTCATTACGTCCCTGGCCCCCACCCGTGGGCCGCGCACATGCCGCCGGCCATGATTTGCACCCCCCCCTCCTGGACACCCCCCTCTTGGCCGCCCCCGAATCTCGGCATAATTGACGACGTCAGTTCGGCAGTGCGAACTTTTCGTGACCTGGGGGCTGGGAGGCGCTTGCCTGCGATGACAAGATGTGGAGTCCGCAGGTACAAATAAGGCGCCCCAGTGTAGTTGTCGTTCCTTACACGGGACGCCCTCTGGGTGACATCGGTGCCGTTCCGCCCGCTCCGCTCCCACCTTCTACGCCCCCCCACTCAGGAGACTCGGGGTGCCGGTCCCTCTTTCTGCAGCGGGCGCTGGGCGAACGTCCGCTGGGAAACCGAATCCCAAGGTTGACGCCTTGGCCGCCTGTTCCCCCTTGACCGAGTGCTGCGGGCTCGTGCCGCACTGAGCGTTCGAGCCTTGAGAAGGATAATTGGGAGAAGGAGCAGGAGGAGGAGGGGCAGGAGGTGGGGAAGGAGGAGGAGGAGGATAGAAGACGGTGACCGATACATGATAGTGATGGTGATGGTGATGATGACGATGATGATGATGATGCTGCTGATGATGCCAGTGATGGTGATGGTGATGATGACGATGATGCTGATGATGACGACGGTGGTCGTGGTGTTGGTGTTGATGATGTTGAGAAGTTATGGCGAATGGTGATACGACGGTAATGCTGAAATTGATGATTAGAGGCGGCGAATGATGATGACGGCGACGATACTGAGATGATGATGATGATGCTGAAGCCGACGACGATGATGATAAGGGATGATGGTGGTAATTGCTGATGGTGGAGACGACGATGATGACGACGATCATGATGATTGGTTATGATGACGGTGGTGGTGTCGATGATGAGGATGGTGATGATGATGATGATGATGATGCTGGTGATCAGTGATGACGGTCATGCGTGATGATGGGGACGATGTTGATATTGCGGAATGGTGGTGGCAAACGATGGCGATGATGGTGATGATGGGGACGATGGGGATGACGACGATTATGATGATGCGGATTACGATGCTGATGATACTGATGATGCTGATGATCGATTTCGGCAAGGACGTAATGCTGCTGATGACGATGATGATGATGATGATGATGATGATGATGGCACATTGTGATTTCGATGATGAGGATGACGATGGTGCTCATGGTAGACGATGATGACGCGACGATGGTGATGAGAAGAGTTCATGATGTCGAGCAATGATGATTCTGATGACGCCGATGATACTGAACAGTGATGCTGGTATTGGCTAATGCTGAATTATTGTGATCATGCAAATGATGATGATAGTGATACATGATGATTATGACGACGACCGTGATGTTGCAATTCAGGATTGGCGATTGTGCAGACGAAGTCGGTAATGATAGATTGTGATGGCGACGACGATGACGACGATGCTGATGATGATTATGATGATGATGTTGATAATGATGTCGTGTGGGGAAAACATGGATTACGATCATGATGCTCATGGTAACTAATGATGGGACGACGATGATGATGATGGTGATGGTGATGGGGATGCTGCTGATGATGATGATGCTGATACGGATGATGATGATGATGATGATGATGCTGATGCTGATGATGCGAATGATTATG